TTTTTAAAATCTCAGCATTTGGGAGGCTGAGGCAGGAGCGTTGATGTGAGTTCAAGGCCAGCTTGGGCTACATAGTGAGTTCAAAGTCAGTCTGGACTACATAATCAAAGTCTGTCTCAAAAACATTTTTTTTATTGTTTAAGACAAGGTATCATACATTTCTGAGTTTCCCAGCCGGACTCAAACTTCATCTGTCTGCCTCAGCTTCCAGAGTGTTTGGATTATAGGTGTGCACCACCATGTCCAGAAAAAGAACATACATGCAATGCCAAGAGAAGTATAAAGAATTAAAGTCAGAGCACTGACTCTGCTACCATGAACTAAGCAGCTTTGTTCTGCCACACTCTTTGCCATGATATGTCTACCTTGGAGCCAGCTGTTCACAGACTGAAACACTAAAGGCAGTAATTCACCTATGTTGTGCATCTGACTCCAGGATGTCCAGTATCTGGAATACGCCAGGCCACATGAGTTTTGCAATTACTCTACCCCTGAGTCATATCCTCAACTTCTAGCCCAGACTTTCCCCCTGACTTTCAGACTTATGTATCCATCTAATTACCATACATCTATCCATGGGTAGCCATCCCAGAAGTACTTATAGGGAGCAGGCCAAATCATTATGCCCACTGGAATCGTCAAGTCTGCCCTGTTACCTCGTCCCTGAAGAACTGGCAAATTAAAGCTGCAATTGATGCAGAGGCTTGAAAAATGAAGGGTGCTAAAGAAAAAGCAAGGCCATATAGATTGTTTTGGGATAGAAATTTTTAGGGACATCACAGAAAGGTAAGTGACTACACTCATTCTGCAACACAAGGTACAAAGTTGGAACCAGAAAGTTGGCTTTTCTGGACCCCAGGGCCAGACCTGTAGCCTGCCTTCCCTCAGATGGCCCACATTTGGTAAACAAAAAGAGAGAGAAAGAGAAGGGAGGGAGGGAGAGAGGGAGAAAGAAAAGTCAAACTAAAATCCCAATCCCTACAGTCAACCACTGTTAAACTTTTTCCAAGCTATTTCTATGAATATAGAGGCATACTGTAAAATAAATGATTGTATATAAACAGAAGCCCACTATAAATGGGACTATAAATGGGATTTTCTAATATGCTTTTCTTTTTCACTTAGCAATAGATCACAGAGATTGTTCAAAACCAATAGATCTACTTCATCTTTGTGGTATGTGGGGGATGCTGGCATCAAACCAAGAGCTTTACGCTAGGCAAGTGTTCTACCACTGAACTATATCTCCAGCCCTTTTTAACTCTGTTTTGAGATAGGGTCTTGGAAAATTCCCTAGGCTGACCTCAAACTTTCAATCCCAAGTAGCTGGGATTACAACCATGGGCCACCATACCTGACCTGTACTTTATTTTTAAAGGATGAATCATATTTTATTGTATGAATGGAATGTCATTTATTCACCCAGCTCCTACTAATAAACATTTAGGTTCCTTCTAGTTCAATATTATATATAATGTCTTTGATAATAAATTCCTTGAAATAAATTCCTAGAAGCACAGTTATCTGAATGAGAGGTATATACATTTCAGATATCCAAATTCCCTTCAAAGGTTGTATGTTTTTTATATTCCCATTAGCAGTGCGCAGGTCTTTCTCTCATTCTAGTCTCAAGGAATTATTATTTACAAAATCATTTAGTTTTATTTTCTTTCTTCTGTTTTGTTTTGGTCTGATTTTTTGAGACAGGGCCCGCTTATGTAGCTTAGGCTGTCCTTGAACTCAGATTCTCATGATTCATGGTGATCCACTTGCCTCAGCCTCTGGGAGTGGTGGGGTTATAGGTGTGTATTACCACACCTGGCTCTGTCAATTTGTTTTCAAAGAAGTTGCCAAAATAATTCAACAGAAGGGGGAAAAAAGTCTTTTCAACAAATGGTGCTAGGACAATTGGATATCCATATCCAAAAGAATGAAATTGGACTCCTTACCTCACAGAAAAATTAACTCAAAGTGGACCATAGATCGAGTTAAAAATATGATTCAGAAGAAAACACTGTAGTAAATCTTTGTGACCTTGAATTAGCAAAGCTGTCTCAGATGAGTCACCAGAAGCACAACAAGCAAAGGAGAAAACAGATAAATTAGAGCCAGGCATGGTGGTACACACCGTAATCCCAGCACTTGGAAGGCTGAGGCAGGAGGATCTCCATGAGTTTGAGGCCAGCCTGGGCTACAGAGTGAGCTCAAGACCAGGTTTAACTCTGTAGTGAGACTCTGTCTCCAAAAAAAAGGAAGTTATACTCCATCAAAATTAAAAATGTGCTTCAAATAGTACCTAAGAAAGTGAAACAACCTTGGTGTGGTAGCACATGTGTGTAACCCAGCACGGTGGGAGGCTGAGGATCACAAGTTCAAGCAATTTAGCTCAACCCTGTCTCAAAATAAAATTTTAGAGGACTAGGGATGGGGCTGGCGATTTAGCTCAGTGGTTCGGTGGCCTGCCTTGCAAGTGCAAGGACCTGGGTTCAATCCCCGGTACCCGCCCCCCGCCAAAAGGCTAGGGATGTAGCTTAGTGTGAAGGCCTTAGGAATCCCACTTCAAAAGCCCGTGAAAACAAGCACATCTTTATACCTTAGGAAAATGCAAATCAAAACCAGTGAGATCCAACCTCACACCTTTGTGCATTGCTGGTGGGAATGTAAAATACTGTTTAAAAATATTTATTTTATTTAACTAATTTAGCTTTATTATTATTTTTAAATGGGTTTTGCTGCTCCTGCCTTAGCCTCCCAACTGCTGGGATCACAGGCATGCACTACCACTCCTGGCTTGGTGTAGTTATTTTAGGAAACTCGGGCTATCTCTCAAAAAGTTAGGTGTTGACTCACCATCTGAGCCAGGAATTTTACTTTTAGATACTGTATACCCAGGAAATTGGGAGTATGGGTCTACACAAAATTTGTACACAAACGCTTGTAGTAGCATTAGTTGTAATAGCTATAAAATGAAAACAACCCCAAATGTGCATAAACTGATGAATGAAAATTGGCATATTTATATCATAGAATGTTACTTGGCTACAAAATGGAATGAAATGCTGATCCATGGTACAGCATAGATGAGCCTTAAAATATGCTCAGTGAAACAAACAGGATACAAATGGACCATAAATTGTATGATTACTTTTATATGAAATGTCCTAAACAGAAAAATACATAGAGGTAGATAGTAGATGAGTCATTACTACCAAAAATAGAAATAAAGACTAAAATGTACAGTAGACATTGGGAAATGGGAGGAAAATGTACCATTGGGAAGGGGAACAATGGAGGGAGGACGGAAAAGGGAAGGGAAAAATGGAAATGAGTTTTGTATGTGGGGAGGGAAAGAGGAGTTAAGGGGGGAAGGAAGAAGTGGAATGTGTTATGTGCAGGTACAAATTCCCTATGGTGAATGTTATCATTATGTATATCCAAAAAGTGCCAATAAATGTTTTGCTTAAAAAAAAAAGTTTCAGGTAGAGTGACTCATACAGGCAGTCAAAAGAAGTGGTTTTAAAGGACATAGGCCCTAGGGAAACAAGGCAATATTTCAGAAATATAAGACCTCTCAAAGAGGACTTCCAGGATTAAAGGACCCTCAAGAAGCCTCTTATTCTCGATAGGATAATCCTACAAGGTAAGGTGAGCAATTTTACTATTTTTGTGTGTGGTAAAATTCATATAACCATTTTATTGTATATATGTATGTATTACATATGTATGTATTGTTTAGTACTGTGGATTGAACCCAGGGGCTTTTTACCACTGAATTACATCCTCAACACATTTTTTTTTTTCAAAAGGAGTCTTGCTAAGTTGCCCGGGCTGTCCTCAAACTTGCAATCCTCCTGCCTCAGCTTCCAGAGAAACTGAGATTATAAGCATATCATGTGCCACTGCGTCCAGCTTCACATAGCCATTTTAAAGTGGAATAGAACTCAGTGTCACTAATACCTTCACAGTATTGTGCAAGCACCACTGCTTCCTAGCTCCAGAAAATTTTCATCACCACGAAAGGAAATCCTGTACCAAATAAGCAGTCACTCCCATTCTAGCCTCCTCCAGTCCCTGGCAACCACTAATCTGTTTCTATGGATTTGGTTATTCTGGACATTCATATAAATCAAATTATAAATGCATAATCTTTCAATACTGGAAAAAGTCAAATAACATCTTAATTTTTCTGCATATGTGTAGGTGTAGGAGTGCTGGGATCCCTGAGAGGTGAACAGACCACAGTTTGAGAACTGTTGGTCTCTAGATTCTATTTTGTCCAAGGCACATGGATCCAGCTCCCTGTGACACCTTCTATTTCAAGATTATCATGTCTCCATGCCCACTTCAGATCTTCCCCACCCTGCCCCGTGTCAACTTCTTACCTGGTGATGAATCTGTCAGCCCCTTTGGCAAATTTGAGATTAGCCTGTCACCAATGGGTTCATGTTCTGAATTTCTCAAAGGAACCGAACAACCAAATAGTGAGACATTCTTACTGGTAGTAAATCTGAATATGATTTTAGCAAAAAACTGTACAAACTTATTTCCAGTAAAATTCTGATCCCTATCTGTCACCATCATTACATTTCTGTAATCATACCAATTTTCATTTGTTTCCCTGTGATGAGAGCCACCATGTGCTTTTAAATATCAAGCAGCAGCCCATGCCATGAATTGCTAACCACTTTCTCCTGTAATGATCACAGCTTACTTTATTCTTCAAGTATTCCTCTCTTCTATAATTAGTACGCTTATTATACAGCATATTCAAATGTTAATGTGCACACTGTACTGATGCTGTCGTGAGACTCATTTTGCTCAGGAGCTAAAATTATGTTGCCATTCTGCTTGGTGCTACGGGTTCTGTGCTTGGATCCCATTTTCCACATGCCAGGAGCCAAGGTTATTTAATTAGAATGCTGAGCTGGAATAAGGAGAGTGTGACACTTAATATAGAACCTGTAAACTAAATGAGATCAGCTAGCACAGGTCCTACATACCTGAAATTAGCTGTCTATCACTCTGGAGGCAATCCATGTGAGCGCATATTTTGACATTGTCCCTCCATGGCCTGCATTAAACTCTGCATGGTAGACCCCTGGAAATTGTAGTTCTGACCACTGGAAATATTTTAGTGGAACTGAGTTGAAATCTGCTTAAATTTTCACTTTTTGGCCTTTGTTCTTCCCTCGGAGCTCTGTGGTAATCTTTCAGAGACTGAAGACAGCAACTTCATCCCATGGTCTCACTTTTCCCAAGTCTTTAATGGCAGCTTCCCAGTCCTTTTACCATCATGGTCAATCCCCTCAGTCAGAGCTTGTCAGTGCTCCCTTTCTTTAAAAAAGAGAAGTGCTCAGAACCTTGTGAAACAATGCTCCAGGCATCACCTGTTTAGTGTGGAAGTGAGCAGGTCAACCAGCCCCTGTCAGGTGCTGTTCTATGGGTGCTCTCCAAGAGTACATAAACTTTCCTACTCAAACTAAAGCTACCACTGAGTGTTTTAAAATCCTATCTTGCCATTTAGGCAATTGGCCATTTAGACCCAAAAATAGAATGGGAGATTTGTCACCATTATATATCATCCTGTTAAATCTGGCCAAGTGCTTGGGACAGCCAAGAAGTATTTCTATATTGACTCCATCTTTTCCATCTGCAAATGTAAGCCCCCATCAATATTGCTCTTTTTATATGAATCAGAATTCAAAACTCTTGACAGAAAAGGCCTCAGAGGATGGAGTCCTTCACCTACTGCCAGAGATGTTGAATCAAAATATTCATGTAGGGTTGTGAATGTAGCTCAGTGGTAAAGTACTTGCCTTGTGTGCATTAGGTCCTGGGTTTGATCCTCAGCACATACAGAGAAAAGTGCATGTGCAGGTAGGCACACACACAGACACGTGCTCTAATACACACACACACACACACACACACACACACACACACACACCTCGGTCCTAAATGTTCCATCCTCTAACTCATGTCATCAGGGAGGGAAAGCACCAAACATATTCTGAGTTACTAATGGCTGGTCAAAGTAACCAGGAAAAAGAGAGGAGACAGTGAATAAAGTATCCTGAAGGGCTAGTATGGCAGGACAGAAGACTGAGAAGGTATTTTATCGTGGCACACGTGTCTGCCCAAGTTGGGAGGCAGCAAGGCTGAGTCAAATGAAAGACAGTCCAGGAGTCCGAGAGAAAATCAATAACCAGGAAATAGAGCTAATGTTGGAAGCGGGAGGGTAGCCAATTAGTGTGTCAACCTTGGTGGGAAGAGGCAGAGGAGAACAGAGACAGGCAAGGGTCACCTGGAGAATGGAGCTGAGAACAAGCATATGAGACAGAATCTGGGAGATGAAGTGGACTCCTGAGCTTTCCAGTCCAGTATGGCATTCACTATCTACAAGGGCTGTTTCAGTGCTTAATATGTACTCATATGTGACTAGTGTCTGTCACTGTTCTACTATTGCAGAAAATTTTGTTGACAGTACTGTTTACAGCATACTAGAAAAAGGCTAAATCAGGCAGAATATCATTTTAGGGTTCTGATTTTTCCTTCACTTTTCTTCAAGACCTAGCTCCTGTCAATTTTTTGAGGATTAAAAAACCATGTATTTGTATGCTGTAGAACATTCTGAGTTATGCAGATCTTCGTGATACTATTTGGATCTAGGTAGGACTTAATGTGGTGGTCCTAGAATAGCTATTTGTCAATTCTTTTTTTTTTCCTCCTGGTACTGGGGATTGAACTCAGGACCTTGCACTTTCCAGACAGGCACAGCACCACTGAGCTATATCCTCAGCGCTATTTGTCAGTTCTTAACTTTCTTGTGTCTGGGGAAGGCATCCTCCTTGAGAAAGCCAGTAATTTGGGGTTAAGACATGTGGAGGCAGGAGATGAAGGAGAAAGGAACCCTGGCCCAGTCAGCCAGAACTGCTGAATCCACTGCCCCTCCGTAGTTGCAAAGAATAGTCAGTAAGTTAGTAACGAAAGCTTTTGATCTGCTGTCCACAACCACTATATAAGTCCATCCTAGCCAGGTAATTGAGAAGTTAAAATCAAGTTTGCATTTGTTTGATGCAAGATATCTTGTCATCCTACCTGTGGGCTTGCACTAAATTTCAGTCTGTTTTTCTTTCTCTTTTAATTTCCTGTCCCAGAAGTTCTTAGAATTTCTAATAAGGTATATCAGTTCTACCTTCTGAATCTCTCTAGAATCTGTCACTTCCTTCAATAACCTCAGTTCATTTCTCATTTCTCCTTTCCCACCCAGCCCCCATACTGCCAATCAATGCTCTAAGAAAGAGCCAGCCATGACATTATCCTCCCCAAACCCTTCAGTGGCTCCCTATGACATCATAAAGGCCAGACTCCTTGGGTCCCCAGTTACCCCTCCTGTCCCAGATCTTTCCACTGTCTGTTGCATAGTAGACACTCCAGCCTCACTGGTTCCACGTGCCAAACCAAGGTGCCCAACTGCATCTCTGTGCCTTTGGACTTACAGTGTTCTATGTCTGAAATGCCCCTTCTCCTTTATTCCTTTGTGAATTTCTACACTCCAGTTAAGTTTCTTTTTAAAACTCATCTTCTGAGGAGCCTTTCTGAGCCCTCGGACATTTCAGTGATCCGTTTGCTGTGGCCAGAGGCTGTGGGTAATGGTCGTCACGCATCCTATATGATGACACTCATGGGCCTGTTTCTCCCTGTAAACTGTGAAGTCTTGAGGGCAGGTGGTATGTCTGACTCATAGCTCATCCCCAGTGGCTAGCACAGAATCTTACTTATAATCAGCACTTCCTACTAGGTGCCCAGCAGAATGAACAATCTGCGTCATTCTGAGTCTCTACTGTGACTGACTGGAAGATGAGGAATATTGTCTGTGTGGCTTGCCGCTGCCATGTTCCTTGGGGTTCACCCATGGCCTCTGGACCAGTGGTCCTGCTGATTGCGGATGTGGGTGGAAGTGAGGCCTGCAGCTGTTCCTCCTGAAAGCCTCTCTGTCTGCTGGCTGTGACCTGGCAGTGCAGCAGGCACAGGCCCTTTCCTTGTCTTTGCGAAACAACACTGGATCCCTTGAAGAGTGCTCTCATAGGGACCATCTGTGGCTAACTCTGTATGGGAGAAGAGGCAGAAGCCTCCTAGTAGAATAAGGAATGAAACACTGCTCCTCTTACATTGCCATCGGTGTGTCCTGGCTAACAAGAGTCTCTCTCTCTCTCTCTCTCTCTCTCTCTCTCTCTCTCTCTCATAACAAGAGTCTCTCTCTCTCTCTCTCTCTCTCTCTCTCTCTCTCTCTCCCTCTCTCTCATATAAGGTCTCATTCTATAGCCCAAGCTGGTCTTGAACTCTCGATCTTTCTGCCTTACTCTCCCAAATGCCAGGATTACATAAATATGCCACCATACCCAGCAACAGCAGCAATTTCTTTTTAAAAATGTAACCCATACCTTAATGGTTTTCAAGACACTTCCACCAACACCATCTTCTTTAGCCCATTATTTACCTTGAGGGAAAGAAGAGGCAGAGCTAGGGTTATTATTTACAAAGACTCTAATAAATCAGAAAGGTAAAGTGATGGCTTGGTGTGACACACTATAAGCAAAGGCCTGTAAAAGTGAAGTCTTTCCCAGGGGCATGAAGTAATAATAACAACTAGAATATATAGGGGTTATGTTTTTAAAAAAAATCTTTACTGGGTTTTCTTGCTAACAGATACTTCAAGTGAGAGACTTTTTCTAATTGAATCTGTAAAAGAAGTTCAGTCATCTCTTTGGAAATTGGACTAGATGACATTGAAGACATTTCTTAAAATCTATGAGGTTTGGTATTTGCTGTACCTCAAGTTCATGTAACTCCAGAAATGATTAACTTATAAGTAATTTCCAAAACAAAGAGCTCTCCTATCCAGACCTATATCTCTGCCTGGGACTTAGCAAAGTCTCAAGCCCATTATTTTTGACTCTGTTGCCCACTTGTCAATCTATTCTTCGCACTCCTTCTGCTCCCTACAACATGGCAACTCTATTACTTGTTCACTTCCTCTATCAGCCAAAACCAGTATTTATAGTTGGAGAGGCCCTTTCTATACCAGACGAGAGAGCAGAACTGTCATTATGCATTACTGAGATCTTCACTGAGTTCCCACTAAAGGAGAATTAAACCAACTGGACCAGGGAAGTTTCACTTGTGTATTCCTTCTCAGAGAGATGATTAAATCCAGTAGGGTATTTGGTAGTGGATACAAGAAGGGAGTTTTGACAGTCAGTATAGGTACACAATTTTCTGGAAGGGACCATCTGTTTTTGTTCGATAAGACAAAGTTATTTAGGATCTGTCTGACAAGTTTCTTTCCAGTCACCCTGCATGAGAACAAAGTATCACACATCTATCCCTACTGGGCAAAAACAGTAGCAGCTGGATAGAAATAGATACCCTATCTATAGTCTAATTCAAGAGTCCAGGCTCTATCCACTACACCCACACTCTTCAGGTGATACTTGTTCCTTTTAGATAGCGGTCCCTGAGAAGTGAAATGCTGTTTCCAATTTTAATGGTGAAAGTTGTATCAATTATAAGTATAACATTCTATTTTTGTTTCATCAAGAAGTCCAGGGTCCCTCAGGTAGAAGAATTATAAGTAATTCTGGGTTTTCCTGGAAGTCTTTGAGGATGGCTATTCTCTCCGGGTTGGTTTTAATTTCTCTGCTGAATTCCAAGAACATTCTGTCTTTTAAACAGAAGAGCAAGATGAGCTTCTGGCTGAAGGAGCAGCTTCATTCTGAAGTCTGGGAAGGCCTGCCACCTCCTTCACTTCCGGTGGAGCATGAGACCTTGCTCTGTGACTCTCACACAGGTGTCTACCATGGCTAGGTAAGGCCAGCCTCCTTAGAATGAGGCAAGTGCTACCAATGAAGGGTGACAATACTGAACACAGAGAAACAGAGATTGTCCTCATGTTGAATTTTCTCATGAGATATGCTGATAAAATCAGATTGGATCAGGTCCTCAGCTCCCTTAAAGGTAAGTACAAATGCTTAGAAGAATGACAGACAAGAAAGACCTGAAAATATATTTTCTACCTGCAAATGGCACTCTGTCTCTTCCTTCCCCTACCTGGCTAAAAATACAACCAGTATCACTTAAGCAAAAAAAAACCCCAACATGTGTTGAGCAGCTTGTGATAGAATATTAGTGAACTGAGTGCTTGGTATGCAAACATCCAGAAGGGGACTTGAAGAGGGAAAACAGAAAGTTCAAGAGAATTGGGGAGCAAGGCAGGCTGCCTTCCTGGAAAGTGGTGGTGCTGAGGGCAGGACTTGGTTGACAGACCGGGATGATGCAGTTGCCACTCATGTCCACCTAGGGGCAGCAGTCCAAGCCAGAGGCACCTGCCCTCTGGTTCAGGAGCCAATTGTGCTGAATGTGTGTCATATACCAGACTCTGGCAAGCACTGGAAACTGAACTGTTGGAAAGGATGATATTTGCCAGCAGCAGTCCCTTTTGGGCAGGATCTGGTCTAGGTTTTTCCAACTCTGAAGCCCAAGTCAGGGGACAGAATGCTGGAAACAGGATATTGAAATTTTCAAACAAAGAGAACCATCCATCATGTTCTAGCATATATTTTATGCAGGGAAGCTAAAACTTCAAGGGACAAAGAAATTACTTAAACTAAAAGGCAGACATTCAACTAGAGGCCTCATGGAGAGTAACTAATATGAATGACAGTGGGCTGGTTTAAGGCCATGGAGTGAGCTTGGTCCTTTGTGCTGTCCCTTTTGAGTATAGACCAGCCCCTGCAGCCAGGTGTAGTGGTGCACATCAGTAATCCCAAATACTCAGGAGACTGAGGCAGGAGGATCACAAATTTCAGACCATCCTGGGCAACCTAGCAACATGCTGTCTTGAGAAAATTAAAAGGCAGAGGGGGAAAGGAAGGAAGGGAAAAGTAAAAAAAAGAATAGAAGGAAAAATGGTAATAAAGCTTTTGTCAGTAAGGAGGGGAAAAGGGGTTGGAGGAGAAGAGAGGGGGAAAAAAGAAGAATCAAGGAATATCATGTACAGGTAAAAATTCCAATGCGAATGTTATCATTATGTATATCTAAAATGTTCCAATAAAATTAAAAATTTTTTTGTTCCAGGGATCAAACTCGGGACCCTTCACTTGCAAGGCAGGTGGTGGAACCACTGAGCTAAATCCCTGGCCCCCAATAAAATTAACTTTAAGAAAAGAAAAAGGAACTGGACATGGTGGTGCATGCTTGTAATCTCAGCACCTGGGAGGTTGAGGCAGAAGGATTGCTGTAAGTTTGAGGCCAGCCTGAGCTACATAGTGAGTTTGAGGCCAGCCTGAACTATGTAGCGAGACCCTGTCTCAAAAAATAAAATAAAATAAAATTCAGGGATGGGGAGGTAGCTCAGTGTGAAGACTGTGGGTTGAATGCCTACTATCAAAATCAAATGAAACAAAACAAATAAGAAAAGAATAAACTGTCTTCTGCAAAGAAGAGTTTGGTTTTAGGACAGATTTGGACATGATAAGAAAGAAACTCTGAAAATAAAAGAAGTCACAGGTTAATTACACAGGTCAGTTTTTCCCAAGCTGTAGTACATATGCCACTTGAGGCAGTGCACAATTTTGGATAAAATATCTTTTACTCTAATAGTTTGTTATTTTAATGTGTCTTAGAATAAACTTAATTTGTTATCAAAACCTATAGGGCCAGGAATTTAGTTCAGTGATGCTGCTGTCTGCCTTGCAAGCACAAGGTCCCGAGTTTGATACCTGGTACCAAAAAAACGAAAAAACACCTATGCTTTCACAGGTGATGCTACTGGCTTTCTACTTATAGTGATGATATAAAAATTTCATTTTAAATGCTTACAGTAATCAGGATTTTATTTAAAATATTACATTAATATATAGGAAATGTTATTACAAGAATATGGCAAAGCTCAGGAAGGTGGAGTGTTAATGGTTGGAAAGTGTGGGAACCGCTTCCTTAAGCCAGGGAATAAGGTGGCTTGATTCACAGACAAGTGAGTTCAGACAACTGAGAACGCCAGATAGGTGAAGGCAAGTAGAGCTGTCGGGATCTAGTTCTGGTTCTATTTCCACTAAGTCTAGGTGACATTGGTTTCTCTCTGGGTCCCCATTTCTTTATAAAATGACCCCAATTCCCTGCTTATCTTTGTTATTTGGTAGAACTGAAGCAGTTGTCACTACTGAGACTATGAACCATCAGAATAGCTCTCATGTTAAGATCTGCTTTGTGCCAGGCGATGTGCTGGATACCTTCCCTAAGTCACCATTCGTTTTGTTTTGTTTTGTTTTTTGAGACAGGGTCTCACTATGTAGTTGAGACTGACCTAGAACTCTCTATGTAGCCCAGGCTGGTCTTGAACTCACAGTGATCCTTCTGCCTCAGCCTCCCGAGTGCTGGGATTACAGATGTGCGCCACCATGCCCAGCCCTAAGTCACCATTCTTACATCTCAGAAGAGCTTTAAGAGGTAGAGTTTACAATGCCTAGTCTGGATGTGATGGAGTCGAGACTGAGAGATTTTTTTTCATTGAGTTTATTGGTACTTTTTAGGTATAGGGTATAGTTATATTCATCATTGGGATCTGGTGCCTTTACATGACAGATCTTGGCTTTTTATTTTTTCCCCATATCCCTGTCCTCCCTTCACCCCCTCCACCCTTCCCTATTTACAAAAACTTTGTTTCCACTATTTTGTTTTCTCATATTTTTTCTTATCCCTTATTTCCTTTCCCCTACCCTTCCCACTTCCCCTACACCTTTAGCCCCTTTCTTCCTATTTCACATTGTCAGTTATACTATTTGGATCTTATTTACACTTTTAGTTTTTCACACCAGAGAAACTATTTGGTATTTACACATGTGTGTCTTATTTATTTCACTTAAGAGTATGGCCTCAATATGCATCCATTTTCCTATGAATGACCCTAGTTAGACCGAGAGATTTTAAGTTACCTATCCAAGGCCACAGATCTGATCTGGATGAACTGAGATCTGATTCCAGAGCCTGCGATTGTGCTGTGTCCTAGTCATCAATCCCTGTGCATGGCTGAAAATTAAGGTCAAGATCATCTCTTCCAGGAAGGCTTCTTTGGCTCCATCCCTCTGGCTTGTTCTGTCTTGTTTAGACATCTTGCCTCTGTGT